GGCAAAGGTAACCAGATTATGGAATGGGCAACAGCCCGCGACATGGACCTAGTCAGCATTGTTGGAGAGCCAACGCATAGGGATGGGAACGTCCTAGATCTAACGTGGAGCAACACGGCCGCTGTAGCATCTGTGTCCAGCCGCTACCACTGTACCTCAGATCACTCGACCATCGAAGGTACCGTGCTTAACCCTACAGTGTCAGATCTCTCTGGAATTGTAAAGAACATTCGTGTCAGCGACGCCAACTTGAAGGAATGTAACCTATGCGTTAGGCAATGGGCCAAATCTGGCCCTCTCGAAAGTGTCGTCAACATCGAAAACTTCACAAATGATCTCCTACAAGCACTTGGAGATGCGCTCAAGATTGCAGGGAAAGTCCCAGCCATCGAAAGTGGAAGAACTGGGCCATGGTGGACCGATGAATGTCGCACAGAATGGCAAGAGTACAAGGCAGCAAGAGACAACCCTGACCTCGCGAAAGAGGCCCGCAAGAGCTTTAGAGCCGTGGTACAAAAAGCCAAGCGAGAGTACTGGAAGAGGCAACTAGAGGCAGTGACTACTGACGCACAGGTATTCAAGCTCATGAGATGGGCTAAGCCTCGACCAGCTGCTCAGCCCCCTCCCCTGCAGATTGACGAAAACCGGTGGCTATATGACCCGCGAGAGCGAGCTAGTGCGCTACGAGACATTCTCTTGGCTAGGTTTAGCGGCGAGAACGACATCTCTATCTGGGAGAATGGACAGGAAGAGCGTATTCCATGGGATACGGAATTATCACTGGACGATGTGACAAGCGCCACTGTATCTTTCAACGATACGGCACCAGGCGCTGACACGATAACGGTAGGTCCACTTAAAGCCTGTTGGACCTATCTAGGACCTCTGGTTAAGGATCTCTACCAGGCTTGTCTGAAAATCGGCTACTTTCCGACGGCTTTCAGGGTAGCAGAGCTAGTGCTTCTTCCCAAACCGGGACGAAATCTGTCAACCGCCAAGGGCTGACGACCGATTTCGCTGCTTTCGAGTTTTGGCAAAGGGCTTGAACGTTTAGTTGGCAAGAGAATGGTGTGGCTGACGATAAGTCACCAATTGGTTCACCCTCAATTATACGGCTCTGTACCAGGATGATCGGCGGTCGACTTTGCATCTTGCATAATCCACAATACCGAGGCGGACATGAGAAGCGGAGAATGTGCGGCTATGGTCACACTCGACATTCAAGGTGCATTTGATGCAGTCCTTCACAACCGACTGCTCAAACGCCTTCGAGAACAAGGCTAGCCACGATCCCTGTGCCGGTTTATTCAGACATTTCTTTGCCAACGAAAGGTTCAGGTCAAATATCGCGGTGGAATCACAGAAGAGAAGATACTTGAATGTGGAGTACCCCAGGGCTCGCCACTATCGCCACTTCTTTTCATGCTCTACATCGCTGCGCTTTTTGAGGATCACGGTCTAACGAGTAGGTTTGGTTATGCTGACTATGTAGCTATTGTCAGAATTGGAAACACCGCGGCGGATGCTATCTCCGCAGCTCAAGACGACCTCGACAGCCTTATCCTTCTCGCAAGAGAACACAGGATCGATTTTGATCCAGCAAAGTCAGAACTTCTAGAGACCGGAGGAGGGCCAAGAAAGAAAATCAACGCGGTTGATCTTTCCATCTTGGTGAAAGATCGCCGGATCGAACCGTCACCTCATATCCGATGGCTAGGAATCTGGCTTGATACCCAGCTAAACTTCAAGCAACATGTACAGGAATGGACCGGAAAAGCTAATCGTCTAGTCCATTTCTTACGACATATAAACGGAGTTCAATGTGGTGCAGCACCCGGACCTCTGATTCGTGCGGTACATACATGCGCTCTGAGCACAGCTCTATACGGAGCAGAAACGTAGTGGCCAGGTCTCACTCGAATAACCACACTGCGAGATAAAGAAGTCGGCACTGGAGTAGGCTGGCACATATCTCTATTGGAAAAAGCGATAATGAAAGCTATCCGAGTAGCACTCCCAGCGTGGCGTACCACTCCCAATGGCGCTCTTCATCGTGAAGCGGGAATACCTCCGGCATCGATAATTCTTCAGCAAAAGATGCTGCGGTCTGCAGCTCGTATGCGAAGAATGGATGCCTAGCACCCTCTAGCCATTCGGGCGGCTGAGGATCCGAAAGAGACAATAAGACGCTTAGGTCTTAGATCGGGACAAAGAGATCGATTGTTCAGACAACCAAAACGGTACATGACACGCCTACAAATGAGTGTGCGTCGAGTCCCGACAGCCGAAGGTCCCGGAAAACTACACTTCCCACGTGGCACCCCAGCATCGATTCCATGTAGTCGAGAAAATGAAGCTAGGTGTGGAAGCATAAAGCGATGGTTAGCTTCCCTTGCAGCTAATACAGTCTACGCTTTCTCTGATGGATCATCATCGGGTTCTGGAAAGTCAGGCTGGGGGTATGTAGTATACCAAGGAGGCAAGCTAGTTGCAAGTGGCTCCGGTCCACTTCCCGGAGCAGAGGTATTCAACGCAGAAGTTGTGGGTTCCATGAAAGCCTTGAAGGCTGCACTAACAGTAGGAGAAGACTTACCGATCTGCATTCTTCTGGACAACCAAGCGTCCACACAGGCGCTCGAAAGAGAAAGATCTTACTCGTCGCAGGCAGCGGTGGACAAGTTTTCGTCGCTGAGACATAATAAGCGTGTGGAAATACGGTGGATACCGGGGCATGTGGAGATTCAAGGCAATGAAGAGGCCGATAAGCCGGCCAAATCAGCCTTGGGAGCTTCCAATAACCGGTCACTAACTTCAGCTACGCCCAGTGGAGAAAATCAAGATCTAACCTTTGCGACGTTAGTGAGGTGGATTAAACAGTGCGGCCATAAGCTCGTGGAAGAGTTTTGGCGGAAGTATCGACCGAAACGATACAAAGATCTGGACCTATTCATGCGTTACAAAAGACCACCGGAACTAGCTTTACCAAGATGGGCGTACCACCGTCTAATTGCGGCAAGAACAGGCCACGGGGACTATGCCGACTTCCATCGACGTTTCAACCCCGAATATGAAGATCTGAAATGCGTTTGCGGCCGAGAGAAAAGGCCCTGGCATTTTTCAGAGTGCCGATCTGCTTTGCTACGTCGGAGAATCTGTGAGGAAATGGCCCCACCTGGGGCCAGGTAAATGATAGGGGAGAAGGGATGGCAGAAGTTCATTCAATTCATAACTAGAAGCCAATGTTACAGTCTGCCGAAGAATAAACAGGGTGGGAGGTGACCACGGTGAGATTGTTTCTGACCCGAGAGGAGATGGGTGTGGAAGATAGGGATGCGGCGCAGGGCACCGTAACTCAGACACATACTGTTCATTTTTTTTTCCCTCTTTTCTTTTGTCGCTTCTGGCTCCACTGCCGGTCATGTAGGTAGCAATGAGCTTTCAGTGCCCATCTACCCGTGTCACGTCTAAATAGATGTTAGGTTCTACCTGTCACGCAAAAGATTTCAAATTCAAATTTAATTTCCGCTAAAGATGAAAACCATCTCCATAATTTAGACTTCACGGAATATGATTGGATAGTACCCCTTGCTTGCTTAACTAGTCGACGAACTAGATATGGGCTTGCATGAAGACCGAACCAATCAAATCAATACTTACAGGGATCTAGCCTCAGTCATTTTGATAATTGTACAATTGGCATCCTTAAGAGACTACAGTCAGACCCCTGTTAAGACAATATTGCCGTTAAGACGATATTTTTTTCGGAACGGACTTTGTTCCCATACATTTACCGATTACACGATTATCGTTCTTCATCATCTGAATATCGTCTTAGCCAAGGTTTTTTTGCTTGATTGGTGCTACAAATGCCGCCAAAAAAGGGAATTTCTGTGGAGCAACAATATTCTCTGTCTGACGACATTTTTCACGGCCCCGATTACATCGTCATAACAGGGGTTTGACTGTATATAGGAAATCATCTAATTCTGCGCAAACGCCACCCGCTGGGGAGGGCGGTTGAAGTATCAATCTCAGGTGTGATTGTATCTCGGTCAAAGGCACCAAAAACTCGAGCTGCGAGTAACTGCCGACAAGAGATCGCGCGATGTGAATAAACAAGCTATTAATTGCGACAAAGGCCGAGATATTTGTGCATCAGACTTGAGCTCTTTAACTTTCATTCGTCCTCAACGAGTGATAGTGGTTTAACAGTGGAGGAAGGCCATGGGGATGGAAAGTCTACAAAGATTCTGACATGACGATAACAACAGAAATACTTAGACGCTATGATGAAGAACAATGTAAGTAAAAATATGTAAGTTTTGGTGGGTGAATAAGTGAGGTCTTCGAGGAAGAAAATGTCATTTGGCTATGATGAAGCAAAGATGTGACTGAATGAAAAGGGATTGTATAAGGACCGAAAGGAGTGAAGGGCCGGGGCGCTTAATCGCCGGCAGAAAAGAAAAAAAGTGTGTTACATTGCGGCACGTCAGCTTCAGATTACTTTACTAGATAATCCTCATATGCTCTCCCCGTGATAGAATTCTGATGTTGCCGCTCATTTCAGATCATGTTGTACTTTATGATAGATCGCCTAGTTCTGGAAGAACCTGATCGTGTTCAAGCTCTCCAAAATTCTGGAGATTCCCATTCGCCTGTTGTATTCATTCGCAAACAAAACAAGTACAGATTAATTAATGAGACTGCAACCTAGAAAAACCTGGGCTAAGTGTATACAATGCCTGAAAACCGGAATTTTGTTAGTAAATACCAAGAAGGTATGACATTTCATTTCTTGGGTGAATGATGTGACTACCATCTTTTATAGGTGCTCATTTCTACTGGCTTGTGATCCAGTGGACCCGATTCCACGTATTAAATTTGTATTGTGTCATAGAAGTATGTTGTTTAATCTAATTACAAATACTTCAGTCGAGCCTAACAGGACATCTTGACATATGGGGATATGAATTAGGTAACAGGCTAATCCTTCATCACGATTATGCCTGAGTGGTTTTTGCAGCAGCTTGGTTAGGATTAACTTTTTTGCCATCCTTATTGTCTGTGACGCCTGTTAGCCTGATTCGGAAGTTGGAATTAGGTTCATATCATACAGCGCACTCTTGGTGGAGGAGATCGATTACGGCGGCCTTGTCGGGATCGCACTCTACAGAAGTTAGCGGGCTGAAAAGAAAAGGAGATACTTGTCGCGGAAGTTCAACCAAGGCTTCATCTCAGTGCCAAACGTACCGGACAATCTTGCCATGAATTGCGCAAGAGACACAGTACTGCAACTTGAGGTACATCTTGGGAACTGTGTATTCAGGAAATACAGAAGCGTCGGAAATGTCGCCTATATTCAGCTTGTCAGTTAGTTTCATAGGGTGCGATCGACTTAGCGAGGAATTGAGATCCTATTTCAGATTCCACGCCTTAAAAGCAGATACTCCTGTTGATCTTGGTCGGGTGATACGTACGTATGGCAGCAGACTCGACCATGTTACGGATAGTGAATCTTTTTATTGCCTTGTCCTTTGGTGTACATCGTGAGCAGTTTGAGCATCTGATTGGCTTGACATGACCACGCCCATTCTTGTTACGTCCGCTGTAAAATATTCGGTCAGAATAAAGCTTCTTCATTCAGTAAGGGCAATTTACTTCGATGCTCGTTTCTTGACCATTTTGACGTTTAGTAGAGTCAAACTTTTCCGGTAGAATCTTGCTGGAGATGGCGTGTAATTGTTGTTAAAACGGCTTCCAGATGATAGGATGGTGGCTAATTGTGCTATTCCATCTATGATTTAGCGATAAGGGTATGAGCCCTAACCATCCCATAATAGGAATAGCGCTTTGTCACAATTTCTATGTAAGTTTCCAGCGCCTCTCAACACAATTCCTTTCATCATAGCATTACTGCTCAGGAAGACAACCATTTGTCTAGGTATGTGACAGATTGGTTTTAAAATATACTATCGAATCTAACCTGCACAGGCTGTCATGCAGATTTTTGTAAAGACTCTCACCGGGAAGACTATCACCCTTGAGGTGGAGTCTTCCGATACCATTGATAACGTCAAGACCAAAATCCAAGACAAAGAAGGAATACCCCCTGACCAACAACGTTTGATCTTCGCAGGAAAGCAGCTTGAAGATGGACGAACACTCGCAGACTACAATATTCAAAAAGAGTCTACCTTACATCTTGTTCTACGTCTTCGAGGCGGAGCAAAGAAGCGCAAGAAGAAGGTTTACACAACTCCTAAGAAAATCAAGCACAAGCGAAAGAAGACAAAGTTAGCTGTGCTCAAGTATTACAAAGTGGATGGCGACGGAAAAATTGAGCGTCTTCGCAGAGAGTGTCCATCAACAGACGTAAGCGTTCTATCAGTTATGTCACACATTCTAATTTCGAACAGTGCGGTGCCGGTGTTTTCATGGCTGCTATGCAGGACCGTCAATACTGTGGACGATGCCATCTAACTTACATATTTGACGATGCTGCCAAATAAGTAAACTTCAGATCAAGGCAAGAAACTGAACATCCGGGAACTTCAGAATTGTCTGGAAATCGTAAAGATGGGTGTAAAAAGTATTTGCAGATTATCAGATAGTTGGCTACCGATGTAATCTTTTGGGTGTTTTTAGCTTCTCCCCTAAATTTCCACAACCAATATCGCACGTATGTACGAACATACTTTGACGCACTATAACTTCCGGTAAATTCTCCACAGTTATGCCACAATTAAATGGTTAAATTTTTTAGTGGGGTTTAGGATGGAGAAATAATGGCCAATTCTAACTGCAGCGCAATTCTCAGAACCTCCCGGCCTTCACATGTGACTTGACAGTACTCTAGTATTGGGGAACTATCTCAGCACCTGACAGCTTTGTTCCTTGCTAACCACTAGTTCTGACCGTCGACTTTGCGGTGTTAAGATTGATTATGTCAATCAAATAGGCTCAGTCAGGATGTATGAAAAGATAAGCTTTTGTGTTTGTTCCCTCGGGCTATGTCTAATCGCTGTATATGTACATTGAATTCCCTTAGCTCTGAACTCACTGTTTATCCTTGGTCTAGACTGTTTGACTCTTGGAAGCTTTGACAATGCCAACCCGATATCAGGGATTGATAGCATTAAAATCTCTCTTATCAGAGTTCCCAAAGTTGACTCGGCCCCCAGTCGATTCCGTCAGCCGTCCCGGCTATCCACTAACTCCGTTATATAATTCCAGTGAATAACACTTTGCGTATACACTAGAATAAATAATTATAAATTCACTAACATACAATCCTGACGGAAGGAAACTTTGGTCAACAGATTAATACCTTTTGTTTTGCATCAGATTTTAATTGCGAATGCAGCTATCTAGCTATGAGACAACATCAAAGAAAAGTAACTAATAGATGACTCTACGTAAAGGAAGGGCACTCGTGCTTCGGATTTCATCTGCAAACACCGTTGCGAAGCACTAACACCTTTGTCCTCACTTCGATGAGGATTCCCAGTTGCTTTCGCGGTCTGTATCGTCTTCATCTCTCATCACATCCCCGAATCACTATTGTCGTGAAGCTAACCACGATCAGATCAGATGTTAGAGTCGGAGCCCTACTCATCACGATTACTTGACCATGGAGGAAAAGCCTTCCGACCAGTTTCCGGAGAGTACCTAGCACTCGATACGGAGATGGCGGATTGGATCAAGTCGAACTCGAATGTTACAAGGAAGGGAGGTATAGATGAACGTGCGCACCTCATGTGGTCCTGGTGTCGAGGCCTTGCCTGGCTGGGGCTGCAGGTTTTATTGAGACTTTTCCCGCGCACGTAGTTTCCAATGCTACCTTTTGTTTTTATTTTTTTTGTCGATAGAAGGTTCCGTGGAAAAGGTGACTGAATTCCACTGATAAATACTGAGTTGAATTGCTATTCATCACGGGTAATATATCAATGATCTTTGAAGTAAAATAGAGTATAAGAGCATTGTAAAATATGTGGCCTGGATTAGATAAATGCCCAATATCCTAGATAATTAAAGACCCAGCAGGTACGATAAACAAACCGAAACTCTCACCAGCAAACCAATTAGAATTCTAAACTCGCCAGCGCCCACGAGATAAGGATGTGCTTACCCTGTCATACTCATTATTATTATTAATTCATTTTATTGTCCTGTATGAGTCTATGACTATGTAGGACACGCAGGTCCTTTCTGCCTACAGGCCAAGGATACCTATACCAGTAGTATATCCCCTCCTATGCCTCCCATACAACTTCCCTCAAACAGTACCACCTCTCACAAGTCCTCCTTTGATCATACACTAATGGGAGCCCTTAGCGCTTCATTATCTCCCCTCTCCAGCCAACGAAACGATGGCCATTCCCTATAATACTTACACTGCCCGTACAAATTGTGCTTGAAATTCTCTAGCTGTCACATACCTGAATGCAACATGCGCAAACGCCATTTTGGACAAAACTAGACAAATCAAAATATTGGAAGAATGTCAGCGACACACCCCGCCGCAGAAAGGATTGCACGCGTAGCCCTACCCATTGCACGTTGTGACAAGAAATAATAAACTACCAAGGTTGTTAAAACTGATAATCATTTCAGTATCAAATTGTAATTACCTCTAACATTTGGACGTGGATTACAGTATGACGGGAAAGCAACGGCGCAAATTGTGTGCTGCAAACAGGATCACGTGGTACTGGGATATAATAAAGTAAGCTAATCTTAGATTACAGAAGCTAGATGACGTATTTTTAGCGTCTTTTGTCTCAGTAGGGACTTAATAGGGTTACTCGCTTGGCGCGTGATCCGCCAGACGTTATATAAAGATAAATAAATAGATGACGTATTTTATTCTCAAGCTCTGCTCGCAGTTTATGGTAGATTTGTCGTAGCTACGAGATACTTTTGTGAAATCATCTTAATGATAAACTAACCAAGCTGAACCCCGATGGTGTTAATTACACGTTTTTAACCAAATTTTGTCTTCTTGTCCTTAATAGGTATTTCTTTACCAGTGAGGCCCTTGAACTCCTTCCTCACAAAATCCGATATCTTTTCGTCTTTGGCCTGTTCGAACGCGCTTTCGTTATCCTGCTTTCCCTGACCAAGTAGTTTCTCTTGAACCATATCTACAGCTGTGAAAGATATTAGCCAATGAAGAAACTCGTGTCAGTGAAGCTGTCGGATTTGTAATTAAAAGAGCAGCAAAATAGTCCCAGCAATATTTTAATTAGAGAGCTGGTGAAAATGACAAACCCTTGTCCAGATAATCTTCATTCTTTTCACTCTCTCTACCCCCTCCAGCAGCGGTATTAAACTTATCTCCCATGCGATTCAAAATACTGCCTTTGCTACCCGAAGATCCAGACGTTTCCGATGATTTTTTCGAGCTATGATTTTTTGTAGGAGCGTGTGGATCGTTGTCATGACCAGATATCTTTTTTATGAAGTCCATGATTTCGAGTTGAGATTTGATTTTTAGTGGTAGCAAACAATGTAAGAATTGAATAACATTGGTAGGAAATATTTGAGCTTTATGGGCTCATTTTGCGTATGAATTAATGACGACATGCTTAGCACATGCACAATGTTAGCTAGGTGCATGCGTTAATTTGATGTTCAGCAGCCAGCCCTTGACCCTGTATTAACTGAATGTAAGTTCCTTTTGTAGTGCTAATATTATACAATCTTCATCCCGACTACTTCGTGATCTTTTATGTAAGCAAATTCAAAAACCTCCCAGTACCGTCCATATTTATTGTAGTTTAGAAGCTGAATGACTGAATTATAGCATTCAGGTGGTAGTACACATTCCATTAATAACTCCTCTATTTAAAATAAAGATGCTCCAGAAGGCCGAACTGTAGATTTCAAGCTGTGAAGTCTTTCATTATCGGAAAGGAACTTCTGATCTCAATAAACTAGCATTTGTAAATCTCCTGATATTAATAGACCTAGAGTTACGACCTCGCTCCAACCTGTCCCTAGGAAAATGACGCACGTACATGTGCTACGTGCACATCAGCATATACTCTCTGCCTGTCTATAGATACTCTCTACTCATAGCCAATCTACTTCTTATGTCTCTACATTAGAGCTGCCTTTCTACCACTTCTTCTTCTATTGATTTCTGGGCATCAAAAGGTACAAAATCAAATTCCCTGTTACTTGAGGAACTGAGATAATGATAAGTAATGTGCTATATTTAGACGGGAGTTATTCCTGCACGCGGGCTAGGTCTATTAATGCATGGGTAGTTTACCCCTCTTGTGCCTCCACAATGACTACTCTACAGAAATAGTAAGTCAGCTTCCTATTGCATGATGCACTGAAAAGTCATATACTGAGAAATGACAATCAAATAATTAATTGTATGATTCATATATTGTATTACTCATCCAAACGTGTGTGAGACGCTCTTAGGTATATGCAGATCTGCTACGCCCAACTGGCAGGCCCCGTCAAACGCTTCAGAAGGGTCGCTATATCTTTGGATTTAGTCCTGATTTCAGTATTTAGAGAGCCCCGTACCCAGTGGTTTTTGAAAAATTTACCCGTAGAATCTCACCCGTGAATGACTATTGTTTCATCGCCCGGAGAGGAGAGACAATAACGGGAAAACGGCTCCTCTCTAAGTGTGTACTAAAATGAAAACTTGAGGGGGGGGGATTTTAAAGTCATTTAATGTGTATTCAGCTATAGAGCTATGAAAAATGACCGGTACTAGATTAGATTTGTATTTTAGTCCTGAGTCAATGACTATTGAGGACTCCTAGAATCTACAAATAAGATACTAGCTACATGTTTGAAGTTCCAACTGTTTAACTTTATGCTTTGCTCTCATGGATAGTGAGGGAATAAATCCAATGACCGGTACTATATATACATGTAGGATGACTCTTTTGACGTTAGAGACACTCATACTCTGCATTTTATTCGCAAATACCACTATGAGGTATGCTTCCTTACATAAACAGTCAACCCTCCTCTATAAGTACCAACCAAAGGGACGTTTCCGAACCTTTGATTATCCGAGCATGCCTTCATCATGAATGTATACCAGCGCCGCAAGAAAAGTGGTTATGTTTTGCCGGATTTGAACCAGCTATCTACTGTCTCGAATGTGATATGTGTCCAAGCTATCCAGACTCTAGTTTGCAGATCGGCCAAGACGACGTTCCGCCGCACCATCCAACGATGGCGGTGTTTCTAGTGTCGCCTTCGCTCTCGCAATCGAAGCTTTAGCACGCACAAAGCTCAATTTGTAAAAACTCCTTGCCAAAATTCGAAATTCCACGCCCGTCGAGAATATATCCATCCTCTGCATCATCTTATCATCTTATCAAATTGTCCTGATCCCTCTCACATCCATCCCACGGAACTGTCTTCTAGATTTGTACGCCACGCTTTGTTCCCCCGTCGGGTGTAAATATCGGCGTGGGCGTGTATCAGGAGACCAACTGAGGCCAGAGAAAATCGACAAGAGGTATGGTCATTGGGATGCGGATGTACTAGGTCGTACTTGTAGAATTAATGAGGCTTAGGTAGGAATCGATTTCGTTGGGAGTGAAAGTTTGGAATGGTGGAGTATTTTGAATCATTACCTCGTGGGCCAACTTGTTCGGTATTGCGAAGTTTGACTGAACTTGGCTCTGAGAATATTTCACTCCCAGGTTCGTAGAGGAAACCGGTACAGGTGTTCAGTCTTGCCCTCCACTTGTGGGGTTACTACCGCTTGAAAGAAGCAGTGAAGACATAGGAGGGAGTACAATACCCGAGGCTTAAATACTATCGGTCTATAGTGAGAAAGGGCCTACATGTCCTTATCTCGTCATGGACTCAATAGAACATTAAACTCAAACAAACACATAATAATTTGCCCAGGTTCTGTACAAACTTATTCACTAGCCCATATCAGATCTTTAATGCAGCAAAAAAATATTGAAGATCCTGAATTTAGTATCTGATTTTAACCGCATTTCACTTGCCTGAGGTTAATCTTCAGGTAATTAAAAGGTCGAGATTGATTATCAGGCCCACAAGCATAATTCTTTGCAAATTAATGATGAATTCCTCAATACTCGGATTTGACACTCATACATCTGAAAAACCACACTACCGACAAGAAATATTTTTGCCCCACAAGACCTGATTGTACAGACTTACTTGTTAGATTCCGCCAGCACAATCCGACGCTGTTCATCCCTTGAGAATAGAGAGGTCCCCTGTTGAAGGGCGTTTATCAGTATAGGCAGCGCATCGTCTTTAAAGTCATCAGCTTTTCGAAGCTCATCGAGATCATCTGAGAGTTCTTCAGCCACCTTGGTCATAAAAATTTTTGCGAAGGTAGAAGAGACTTCGGTATCTGTCGCATGATTCTCGATGGCCAAGTTGGACTGTAAAAGTTAGATTTATGTGTGAGTAAAGATAACATTTCAGACTTTTTCATCATTTTGGTCTTTAGCAATGTGGTTTACGGTTTCTAATTCACTTTCGCTATCGTCGGTAGAGACTTAGGGGGATAAGCTACATTAGACTAGATATGATGAACTGGGTGCATACCTTCAGTTCGAGATTTTCTCTTTTTATGCCGCTTAGATTTTCCTTGAATGTGCGATTCGGATGGCATGGCGTGACGAATTAATTTATTGTAATCTGTAGGTCTACACGTGTGATTTCAAATTTTGACTCCGTATTGTAATCGTCAGCGTATGTTCTTACTACTAGGCACGCTGATCACTCGTGGATAATTAGATTGCTTTGATTGAATTGAACTGACGAAAAGCGAGGCTAAATCGATTATCAGAATCTTCGCGTGTCAAACACTCGCTAGGTGCCGGCAAAGACGAATCCTTCACCTTCCAATGGTGCCGGTGTAATCGCTTAGTATGCTCTGCATATCTGGGGTAGCCAAGAAGAATTGCATCCGAATCGAAGTCGAAAGCAACCTCAAACACATCTCCATTTGACGACTTCTCGACAATGCCTCTCTCATCATTATCATCTGAGTCCTCAACCCATCACTAACCATGCATCATCTCGCCTCAACGACCAATAAAGAAGTTGCTCCAATTGCATACAGGAGCTTGCCCCATTAACCTCCAGCCATCTCTCACTACATATTTACGACGCTATTTATATCCGCAAGGAGGAAATCAAGTCAAAAAATACAAGACCTGGGTCTTGGCTCATGGGGGACTGTTTTTATTATTTTTTTTGCATCAGATTGTAATTGCGTATGCAGCTATCTAGCCATGACACAATATCAAAAAAAAGTACAGAATAGATGATTCAGCGTAAGGGAAGAGCACTCATGTCTCAGATTTTATTTGCAAGTACCACTGCGAAGTTATGGCGGCTTTTTCTTCACCCCAAGTCAACCCTCATCCGTGAATACCCACCCAAGGGAACGTCTCAAAAACCCTGAGTTATCCAGACATGTCTCCATCATCTTTCAACTTTTCTACGCGGGAAATATGGTCTGGAGCGTCTCCTTCCCAAGTGAAGTAGGTGCCCAGGCTACTCAAACCATACCAGAGAACACCACCAGGAAGCGGATCACAACACCTTCCATCGTTGGCTTGTGTTTATAGTGTCAGTTGCACTCTCGCGAGCGAAGCCTTGGCGCGCACAAAGCTCAATTCGTAAAACTCCTTGCCGAAATTCGGAATTTCATGCCCTTCGAGGTTATATCCTTTCTTCGCATCATCTTGTAAACTTGTTCTGATCCCTCCCACGTCCATTTCAAAGAACTGTCTCCAAGATTTGTGCGCCACGCATGGGGAACTGTTGCTCTAATGGGACAAACAACTTGAGTAAGAACAGGCGGCTGAGATGTGGAGCGAGAGGGGGAACAGGTCTCTGAAGAACATGCTGAGACTGACATTCTCGAGGAGTTTCCAACCTAGGAACGTTTGTGGGCGCCAAGACTAAGGTTTCGGCAAACTAGCCAGGAGAGCTTCTATTGCCGATGAGTCAACGGCATTCTCCAGCGCCCTGGACGGTACAAAAGAAGTTGGGCTGAGCTACCATACAGCAATCACGCTCTGTCAAGACTTTTCTGACATTTCAGCACAATCTTCGGGAAGTAGTTGGAAGGAGGCTAGAAAGTCAGGGGTTAAAGTTCCTGAGGTACCCACAAGTCTGCAGCGCCCAGCTGGCCGGCCCCTTCGAAAGCTTCAGAAGGATTACTACGTCTTCGTATCTAGTTCTAATGTCGGTATTAGGAGAGCTCCGCACCCAGTGTTTTTTGCGATTTTCCCGGCTGCCCTACGCCCGCAAATGGTCATCGTTCGTTGGCTGGAGAGGGGAGATAATGAAGGGCTAAGGGCTCCTCTTAGTGTATGATCAAATGAGGACTTGTGAGAGGTGGTACTGTTTGAGGGAAGTTGTATGGGAGGCATAAGAGGGGATATACTACTGGTATAGGTATCCTTGGCCTGTAGGCAGAGAGGATCTGCGTGTCCTACATAGTCATAGACTCAGACAGGACAATAAAATGAATTAATAATAATAAAAACACTCGCTAGGTAGTGGATGACAAAAATTCAACACCTATCAGTGGTGTCCCCTACGACCCTCCAGCTTTGACTGTAGAGTTTGTAGTGTCAAGTTTGAGTACTATCCTCGTCCTCACTTCGATGAGGATTCCCAGTTGCTTTCGCGGTCTGTATCGTCTTCATCTCTCATCACATCCCCGAATCACTATTGTCGTGAAGCTAACCACGATCAGATCAGATGTTAGAGTCGGAGCCCTACTCATCACGATTACTTGACCATGGAGGAAAAGCCTTCCGACCAGTTTCCGGAGAGTACCTAGCACTCGATACGGAGATGGCGGATTGGATCAAGTCGAACTCGAATGTTACAAGGAAGGGAGGTATAGATGAACGTGCGCACCTCATGTGGTCCTGGTGTCGAGGCCTTGCCTGGCTGGGGCTGCAGGTTTTATTGAGACTTTTCCCGCGCACGTAGTTTCCAATGCTACCTTTTGTTTTTATTTTTTTTGTCGATAGAAGGTTCCGTGGAAAAGGTGACTGAATTCCACTGATAAATACTGAGTTGAATTGCTATTCATCACGGGTAATATATCAATGATCTTTGAAGTAATAAAAGAGGTTAGGAGCACTGTACAAGGTGTGGCCTGGGTCGAGAGGAGACCAATGTGCTTGATAGTCAAAGGCTTGGGTGGTACAATTCACCAAACTGACACTCGATAGTGTAACTAATTTGTGGCCGACAGTCGGCTTGGAGAGAAATGAGCTCCTCTACGCAAATATGAGATAATGCGATAACTAAAAACTTGTACAGATATCTTATCACATCATGGACAAGGGAGCATCATAGCTGGTTAATATCCCCATCATAACACATGACCTTCTAACTCAATCACCACGTGCACATTACAGCCATGAGCTTATGTCACAGGGTTCCGCAACAATCGTGTAACCAACAACCATTGTCTTACTACACCTATGGAGCAAGTTTTATTTCTAATCGAAGATATTGTTCACATGAAAGTGACTGATCCACCATTCCAAGCGGACACTGTATTACCATGTTGTGCCTCCTGCACCTGTCAGCGGTTATCGTCGAGTTTTTAAGAGACTCGAGTATGGCAGAACTAAATGACTTTGAAATGGAGAGAAACTCAAGACGTTCATGATAAAAAATAAAAAATTTCTTGATGAAAGTTATCTCCCGGCAACGAGAATGGTTCTTTCCCAAAATTTCGCCATTTCTCTCTGATACTTTCCTGCTATACCTGAAAGTCGTCCGTCTACAGCAAAATTACTCAGGTATGCTATCTCGATGAGTGTTTACTCAATCATCCCTTAAGCTTCAGACTTTGAGGCAGAAATTCTTATTATACAGCTTGAAAATTGAATACAATATGGCTACGTGTGAACGAGAGACATGTCCAATAGAAAAACCCCATCGCCACATCAAAAAGACCATTCATGAATCAAGCAACAGTCGTTCTGGGAATCAAAGATTGCAGCAGATTTTTCTCACAAAAACTGAACGCACATTCATCCATAAAGATAAAGCAAATGAGACGATGCACAACAAATACTCATCTCTCAATTCTACACCATCACCGCAATCATCTACCCTGAATTGGAACACATCTTCTTATTACGATTACACTGGCAATATTTCGATATCCCAGCCTTCACTCGCCGCTGGGGGTCAAGTCGATCTATCAAGGACTTTTACCCCAACACCGCGCGGTACCTTTTCCTACGGAGGAAGCAAAGATTACCTGGAAGCTCTCAGCGAGACCGAGGATTGTTTTGCTAATCAGCGGTCTTCGCATTGGTCTGTCACAAATAAATCATATGGAAATCAAAGCGTAGAAGTATCCCCACTTACTTCCCCTCAGCCAAAACGGCCATCCCCTTTTCCTTCTCCAATCGGTGTTGCGGTAGCTTTGAATAAAATATCAGAAGATTATTCAATTTTAAATATCCGGGAGTCAACTACCGAACAGCAAAATTCGCAGATGCTTCCCATGGATACTGAGAGCTCAAATACCCCTGCACCTGTGACAAGACTTGCTTCCCACGTGAATCCACAGAACTAGGGTCTTAAAATTACAGGATTCGCAGGCATCATTGCTAGTCAAAATACTGTGATTTTCAGAGCTTTTGAACACCAGATAATCTACGATCGAATACTTAGATATTCTCATGTCTGAACAATTTTTGTACCATGGATATGTGATTCAGTATGAACACAAGTAACTGTCTCTTGTGCAACTACTGTCACTTTCTCTCATGAGGGAGATAAAAAGCAGTGAAAATTTTGGCCAAATTAATATAATCTTAATGTATGTCTAGAATAATGGTCATCTTCAAATTCAAAAAAACTTTGTAAGAGAGAACGATCGCCTTGAGAGCCATAAAGATTTAAAATGTGTTCGGGAATATTTACGAGCGCTTAGATGGCTCTGCGTCCGATTAAGATTTTTCATAGCAGTAAAGTAGACGTGTAAGTTTTGGATTCACAAAATAATTAATCACGTCTGGGAGTACATGATCAACGTATTCTTAAGTAATTACTGATGGCATAAGGCTCGCACTTAAATAATTCAGTTCAAGATAGTGAAACTAGAATGTAAACATCAAGAAAATATTTTTCGAGGTTGATCGGAATTTATTCTGTTTAGGCAGCTATAGTAACCTCGACTTCAACACCAGCCTCGATGTTAATAATGATTTGTTTCACAACCTCAGTTGGGGCATTGAGACTGGAAATGTTAGTCAACGCCTCGATTGAAGATCCTTTTAAATCTTACTCGATCAAACGCTTGTGTATTCTCATCTCAAATGTGTCCCAAGTCTTAGAACCTTCACCACAGGGTGTCTTACGGGTAGTTACTTTCAGTGTCTTGGTCGGGAGACGCACTGGGCCTTTAACCCGAAGGCCCTTAGTCTTTGCACGATCAATTAATTCTTGACAGACTTTTTCTAGCGATTGAACTTTCCGGGATGAAAGGGTGATACGAATTTTGTGTGTTTTCTGTGGAGCGAAATTAGAGAGTTGCTGTGAATTGTAAGTAGCTGTTAGACTTACTGGAGCCTCGCCGTAACCCTCTTTATCAATCTTGTTGTAAGACATTTTGGCTTACTTAGGTTCTTCAAGACTCGAACAAATCGTTACGGCAAAGTGATGAAGATAGGGTCGCGGTTGTTAATATTCCCTTATCCAAAATTACAAAAGCCGAAAGTCTGTACACATTTGTGATCTCGCTTAATGTGCTTGCCTCAGGCTCTCCAATTTTGAAGCTTAGTTCTAGATCGAACAGAGCCATAGATTTAATTTGCCCCACCAAATATCTTATCTATGAAAATGAATCCGAAAGTTCTACAGCTCCCCCCCATGGTTTCATTCCCAGACAAAGATTGGTGTCATAGTATATCTGATGAAGAGTGGGAAGTTTACTTTAATTCTTGGATCTTCCTCGCAGAAGCCCATCTATCAAACTCAGATTTTCTAAAGATTTCAACAAGGGATAGTTCTGTCAAGAATTTTATCGTCTCGTACGTTACTCAGACTGCACTATTAGATGAATTATTTTTTTCGAAATTTTCGGAAAAGTTGGAATTATTACGAAAAATATGTTTTTGCATTTGCTACAAGTTATTAGAGCTCAAAATTCCGCCACCAGAATTAACGTGCTGGGATTTCCTTGCAGATGCGAGTAAAGTTTTTGGTCGCATAAATGGAAAAAAACTTGTGAAGCTTGTCAACGAAGAGAATCATTCTTGCTATGAAACCACATTGACACAATTAAAAGCTCTCCTTATAAAGGAATTAAATACTGGAATCAAAGGCAACTTAGTAAAGCTTGAATCAAATCTCAAAAGGTCAAATTACCTTCATTCCGTATCCCCAGAAGCAGCCCAATTCTTAATGGCAGGGAGTGACTATGCAGATGCCCTCATTAGCTGTTATAAGATCATGAACCCCCCTTTACGCCGGATAATCCTCTCAAATATGTACATTTGTCTTATCGGTTTAACGAGAGGGGAGACCCCCATGATTTCAGCTCTACTCGACCAGCTGTACCTGCTGAAAGAGGCCGCCGAAGCCCATTCGACAGGACCTCTTAATGCCAATGATTCACTTGTATCCGAACTAGTTACTGCAACGCCAATTTTGCGAAGTATTAAACAACGAATTAAAGAAACAGGTTCTGGACTAAAAAGAGCAGAATCAATCTTGTCCTCCTTGGAAAAGTTTCGAAAATCTAGTCGCAATGCTAACTCACAAAGTTTTACAAAAAGTAAAAAAACCAGAAAACCACAAAATATCATGCCGGATAACCAGTCAATTGTAAATGACCAGGTAGACTTTGACCAGATAGTTTTGATATCTCAAATACAGGATCTTTTCCCAGATCTTGAATCTGATTTTGTTGTTAAACTTCTCGTTGAGTATGATAATAACGTCGAAGTTATTACATCTCATCTACTAGAGAATTCTATCGCAGCTCATCCAGGACAATTAAACGCAAGTGAGACGCGAATTGATAGACAAGAGCTAGCCTCGTATCAAAATGCAACTATGAATCAATCTTCTTATCAGAGAAGTACACGACGCAATATCTATGATGGCGATGACCTCGATCAGTTAGCAGTTGATCCTTCTCGACTTCATTATGGTCGCCGTAATGACCCCAGAACTGCTGAAATGCTGCTCAATGATCGAGCTTTAGCTCCCAGTAAAGCAACTATATTTAATACACTGGCAGCATTCAATTTAGATGATGATGAGAGAGATGATACCTACGATATCTCCGATGTCGGAGGGCTGGTTGAATCAGCCAATCTAGGAGACAATTTGGAAGGGAGCTTCACCAGGGCATCATCGTCTAAAATTTCTCCTAGCTCTACTGATGAAATCCTGTTTCGAGCATATAAGGCGAATGCGCAGCTCTTTCAACGTGATGCAGCCACAAGGCGAGGAGAACCAAGGAAAAAATTGAAGCAGCAGGTTGCGCTGACGGACCAAGTGATTGAAGGGTGGGCAATTATGCTGCCACGTAATCCACAGCTATTACTACAATTGGAAGCTGGGTATGATAAACCTTCAGATATCGAAAGAATCGTGAAAGAACCCGCCTGGAAAGTAAAAGAGGACTCTCAATCATTGGAGCATCGTCCTCAGAACGAAAATGGATTTAATCTAAATTCTAATGAGGCTCAGGAGCGTGGAAGTAGAAATAGAAGTGACGTTTCTGGTGCACCCGGCGAAAAGAGAACTGAAAGAGCTAGGAGAGGGAAAGAAGTTGACAAAGGCTCGAGGGCGAACCATAATCGAAGAGATCAACGGGCAAGAAAAATGGCACGAGGAGGGTTTCCTAGCTGACTAAATATTACAAAAAACTTGACGTAGATAATGGAATGATTAAAGTAAGGGTTATAGAGAGTTATGATAAATAAGTGGAGTCATACAGCCGACTTACTAGAATCAACTCCAGCCCTGAGCTGATCTTGCAAGTTTTGTCACAAGGAGCAATTGGTATGTCTCTCACAGTAAAAGGAAAAAGCGAAACCGCGGCTAATACCGGCTCTTATAGCGAGAGAGTAAGCTTGATCCAAAAACAAATACGCTGGGCTCTTAAATGCTAGGGATGGAATCTAACAAAAGTGGGGATTCATAATAGTTTTATATTTATGTTATGAACATACTATAAACAGTGTCTCGTGGTCTAGTCCATGTCAAATCGCTATCAGTTTATGCATGAATTGATTGAGTTTCCGTTGGAGGGAGATGGCCGGATAAATTACGACACCATTTCTAGTATAAATTGTGGAGGGCTAGCTCGATTGGAATGTCAAAGGTTTATGAAGATTGATGAGAATCATGATAGAGTCGAGAATAAGATGAAAGTCTGTTGGAAATGAAGTATAATCTTATTGGTAATGATTAACTTCATTAAGTAAGGGTTCCCAACGCAATCCCTATATCCAATATTTGCACTCCAGCAATGCGGCGTTTTTGAGAGATAAGTAGAACACTTGTGACTATGGCCAGGTGTACGCTACATCATGCGAATTTACCTTCATATTTCTGGGATCTCGCTATCAGCTCTGCAAGTCATATTTGAAATCCTCTACCTACTCGACCTGAAATTAAAACTTCTCATGAGCCAATTACTGGGTCGAATCCTGTAGCTTTACATTTAAGAATATAGGGATGTATCTGCTATGTTCTGATTCAAACTTCGAACCCACATAGAAATAAACTTTTTCCAACCACGCCGAGAGGAAGTTTAATAGGATATTGTGAGTCTACAACACAATATTAAATTCTCATTCCTTCTAAAGAGGGTCGTAATAAAATTATGGTGTCAGCTAACGCTGGGTTTCTCGAGGATACCTATTGGAATATAATTGTGTAATTGATGATACTAGAATTATATGAATAATGAATCCCGATAATATTCGATTGATTGCTTGCTTGCTTATTGTTACTTCTATCTGAACACGAAGATGTTGCTATATCATATACAAGTCTCTTGTGCTAGCCTTTATCCCACATGACTACGCGAGTACTACTTGATCGTAAACTGAGACACATTGACTCAGTTACATCCCCCGTTGTCTACGTATCACTAGACCCTAGGTTCACAACTATGACATAATGCTAAGTATATATGATACTCCTTAGCCGCGACTTCCTGGCTCGGATTCTTCACCCAAGCATATATGACTCTGCCTCAAACTGATCATGCGTGGTGGTTTTCTGCCCCTGCCAAGGCATCTGTCATAGACCTTACATCTGTCGTAAATAGACATTTACAAGTCATGCTCACGATATTCACAGCAATGGATCTTACAGAGACCTAACTATTTCAAAAGTAGACATCACCATAAGTAAGATTGGATCACTTGTGCTAGAAAACGCTAAAGGCACAAATTCTCCTCTTGGGGAATACGATTCTATCTTACTGTCACGGTTAGAGTGTTAATGCTGGAGCAATCAGATATACGAAGGTAGTTTATAATTTTCTCTGTGGTTAACTATCAAAACATTACTTTAACTATTTGTACATTTATGAAGATCTCTAGAATACTCGTTCTTGACTGATATCTGCTTCTCGTATTTTCCAGTCATAGTAGTTCCCAGTCTTGCTACCAATAACTAGAATATTCCTCTTACAGCTGAACTGATCTGGAATAAAGCTAGACTACTGTAGAATTATAGAAGCACGTGAATACAATCACGTGCTACACAACCATCGGCTCACAAGCCGTTACACTTACCAGCTGAAGGAGAAGAGCAAAAAGCAGATGAATCTGCCTATCTAAGTACAATAGGAGGGCTGGGATACGCTTCCAACAACACTCCGCCATATATCTATTTTGTGACGTCCCAATCAGCCAGATTTAATTCATCTTCACATATGTGACACTGAAATTCTGTGTGTCATGTCTACAGGTGTTTAAATCTACGAGGAAATACAGCATCATGTTCAAGTTTGGACCTTATACTTCAACCGTTGTTCCACAATCTTAGAGCGACGGCTACTGTAGATTTTCTTTGGGGCGAATAAAGAAATATATTATATTAAGTATATATATCGCCACTACATCTATCCACTGACACTTCTCCAAAGGGAACTCCTCGCCAGAATAGTTTTCCATCTCAGCTCTGACCACCTTTCCTTCTATGACTAATTCATGACTAACCCAAAGCTCCTTCCTGATCAGTTTCAGGGCTAAGTTTACTCCAAGCAAATTAGGATACTGTATGCGGGAGTATTCCTACATCAACCCCCAATCAAAAAAATGCTTTAAAAAAAATTCTGATTCAGATTTTGACTCTGATATCCTTACCTGTCTATCTGTGTGTGGTCACGTTTTTTGCTTTGAGGAGGCCCTATCTACTGACAATGGAAAAAAACAAAAGTCAGTTGCAACTTCAACAATGGAAACAGGAAATATTGCCATATTGGGAGCATCCAAGCAAGTGATTTGGGTTGGGGAGCTCCTCAGGGAGATTCAAGTTGTGGAAGAATTTATGGATCGAAATGGAATGACTGTATAACCTGATAATCAAGCTGCATAAGCCCTCGCCAATAGAACAAACCCGTCGAAGGCAAAACAATCTAACATAGCGGAGGGCAAGACTAAACACCTGTGCGCGGTGTCCTCTACGAACCGGGGAGTGAAATATTCTCCCAGAGCCAAGTTCAGTCAAATTTCGCAATATCAAAGAAGTTGACCCACGAGGCAAAAACTCAAATTACTCCACAACGTCGTTTTCTCGCTCCAAACGAGTTTGACTCCTACCTAAGTCTCATCAAGTCTACAAGTATGACCTAGTACATCCTCATCCCAACGACCATACCTCTCATGGACTTTCTCTGGCCTCAGTTGACCACCAAATACACGCCCACGCCGATATTTATACCCGACGGAGGAAGCAAAGCGTGGCGCACAAATCTGGAAGACAGTTATTTGAGATGGACTTGAGAGGAATCAGGATAAGTCGACATGATGATACGAAGGAAGGATATAACCTCGACGGGCGTGAAATTTCGAATTTTGGCAAGGAGTTTTACGAATTGAGCTTTGTGCGCGCCAAGATTTCGCTCACGAGAGTGCAGCTGACACTATAAACACTAGCCAACGATGGAAGGTGTTGTGATCCGCTTCCTGGTGGTGTTCTCTAGTATGGTTTGAGTAGTCTGGGCACCTACTTCACTTGGGAAGGAGACGATCCAGATCATATTTCCCGCGGAGAAAAGTTGAAATATGATGGAGACATGTCTGGATAACTCAGGGTTTTTGAGACGTTCCCCTGGGTGGGTATTCACGGATGAGGGTTGACTTGGGGTGAAGAAAAAGCCGCCATAACTTCCCAGTAGTATCTGCGAATGAAATCTGAGACATGAGTGCTCTTCTCTTACGCTGAATCATATATTCTGTACTTTTCTTTGATATTGTGTCATAGCTAGATAGCTGCATACGCAATTACAATCTGATGCAAAAAAAAACAAATCTCATATAGCCTACTGTTACAGGCTGCGCCTTACATCCATGTACTTGTACCTATCTATGTGCCAATCGCCTATGTTCTGTTATGGGATTATAAGTGATCGCCGATCCAACAAATACGAATCGTTGATAGATCACCTCAAGAATGCGGATGATCACCGATCCGATAGATATTAACCTCCTGGGGCCAGAGCTACATGTATATATGTCCTACAGCCTAGATAGATAACATTCCATAGATAATTAGAAAATAGACTGTATTACGGCCAGCTTACTTTGTACTTATTGTTTTGGTGATAGCCCATCACACCTACCACTTCACAAGAGAGTGTGATCAAAGTGGTGTTACAGGTATAGAATATATCCCGATAAAAGATGTGCTTGCTGTTATACTCACCAATCCTCTCCATTTTATCAAAAGTAGGCCCTATTTGTGTTAAATTACTCACGGTCTCATGAAGATAATTTTCAACTGGTTGCCTCAGTTAGGAGGAGTGTTGGAAGTGAAATATAATATTATTAATAATGAATTTAGAGAAACAAATTATGTCCTAGTAGATAGAATGTGGAACCTCAAGTATCGGATTGCACGACTCACTTAGTTACGAGCCGTGCACTGTCAGGACGACAGACGCGTCAATCAGTATTCACCGAGTAAAATAAGCGACGATTCGTAGAGACGATCTGTCAAGTGAAGGAGCAGTCGTACTTTGATGACTCAAGTCAGCAACAGAGTACTTCTCAGCCGTACAAGAAAATGAGACACGTTTAGAATAGAGTAGATTAGCGGGCCACAGTGTGGTGGATGGGGACTTTTATAAGATCCAACTCATATCACCAGTGTGGGATATCAATTCAATACTGACTCATCTACGCCTTATATATGCTGTGCAGTGTCTCTTATCATGTAAGTGACTAGAGTACGTATATGTATGTTTATTGTACTGCTTGAGTCTATGACTATCTAGCACATTGGGCTCCTCTCTGATCCAGGCCACACCTTGTACAGTGCTCCTCGCCTCCTTTGTTACTTGTAAGATCATTGATATATTGCCCGTGATGAATGCCCATTCAGCTCAGTATTTACCCATGGCATTCGCCCAGCTTTTCCACGGAACCTTCTACCCATGAAAAAAAGTAGCTATGAAATCTGCGTGCGCGGGAAAGAGTCTCAAAAAGACCTGCAGCTTTAGCCGGGTGAAGCCTAGATATCGGGAGCACATGAGGTTGTCGGTGAGGAGGAGTGTTTGAAATGGAGACAGAGAGTGTTGTGCATGTTTAGGCGCTCCATTTCGTCTAGGTTCCCCATACGATCTTGTGTGTATTCAAGAGGTTGGAATGAGTAATAGGGTAGCGCTTCAGGCTACCTGATGGATACATGAGCAGCTGTATGGCGTGGGTACATGGAGGTTACTAGGGAATTTCTATGCCTAAATGGCGCCACACTCGTTGATGCTGTGGCTTAGGCCTGTCGTCGCTTACGTGAGTACTTTTAGCGCTCGCCTCCGGCTCTTCTTCATTGCATCACATAGTAATTGCGTAGGCAGCTATCTAGCTATGAGACAATATCGGAGAAAAAGTACCGAGAAGATGACTCAGTCTACAAATAGAGCTCTCATGCCTCGGATTTCATTTGCAAGTACTAGCACGAAGTTGTGCCGGCTTTTTCTGCAGCCCAAGTCAACCCTCATCCGTGAAAACTCACCCAGTGAAACTTCTCAAAGGCTCTTTTATCCAGACATGTCTCCGTCCATCAACTTTTCTCCGCGCGAAATTTGGTCTGAGATGTCTGCTTCCCGAGTGAATACTGTGCCCATGCCACTTAAGCTACATGTGAAGGTTGAATGAATACAGATATACTTGATAGACAATAACTCGATAGGAATTAAAAACTTCTTTTATGGGAAGATTATCTGCCACGTAGTCTCCAGTCCCTTATATGCGCTGTGTAGACTTGTCTTAACTCCCTCCCTTGGCCACCTGAGAATCATTCTTTCTCCCCATCTATTACATACCCACTTGATACCTCCTTATGCGCCCCATTCGCATTTCCAGGAGCGCTGCTCTACCACAGCCTGACCTCGAAGACGGAGTGGTCCTAGTGAGCAGTCCCAATCCGGGCAAAGCCCGTCACAGGGAGAACGAGGAATGATATCACAAGGGAATATTTCAGCACTAGGCTGTGAAAAACACGGTAAGTCTGGAGCAGCGTGCAAGGAGGTTGAGACCTCCGTGCATTCTTTTATTCAAGTTTCCTACATACAAAAATATAGTTGGAGGTTTTACGTATTGTTACGGAATTAATCGGTTGGGTTTGTACTGTCTGCACCAACACGGCAGGGATAGAATATAGGGCCTAGCTAGCTACGGGGACTACCAATGTTGCGGTCTGGACGTGGTTGCTTAACAACATAGATTGTTATGATCGGCGCTGATAATTATGATTCCCTGTGAGTGCAGCGAGAAGTTTGTAATCGTATGTCTCATGATTCCATTAATTAACTGATTTATTCCAGACTCGCTCTACTGTTTGTTTATTATTTTACGTCGTGCCAGCGCGCAACACGTTTCCCAAGGCCACATGCCGGTTAGCTCAGTCTAGAAAACTAGCCGACGTGCCGACGCTCCTAAGATCCCGGCATAAACTACCTGGGCCCTGACCCTCCTGCCAGTTGCCCCAAACTAAAAATACACCACAGAACCCTTCCTCTGGGTCTTCTGTTAACTACACTGCAGACAGAACTAAAATGTAAATCTACACGCCGGACTCGCTCTACTGTATAGCAACACCAATTGATCCGGCGATACGCATCACGAGAGCTCACGCGATAGCGATTAACGAGACCTAGTGTGAGCATAACTTCCATAAGAGTATCCATCGTCCTGCTCCTATATAGACTAGTTAATATAACAGAAAGGTAACGTTACAGCGAACTACGAGCATGTACGTAATAAAGCGAAGCCTGCAATCGAGATTTCTTCTTCGTACAACTCAATCTCAATACTACCCTCATATTAATTATTACATCTCTCGTGAAGACCACTTCGAGCCCGTACTCGTATCAGAGCACGATATGCCTTCTTTTCTCTCCTTTTGGAAGACCTTGACCCCCTACTTACTCACAATTACACCCTGTGGACAAATAGCATAAACACTCCTCGAGTTTAGGCTGTAATGGAGCAGTGCTTCCGGAAATGTGAATGGTGCGCATTTGAAGGCACTTATGGGGCCGGGTACCAGATAGGGAGTATGGTGCCGGAGAAGAAGGGAGCCGAGGAGAAAGGATAATTCCCAAGTGGCCAAGGTGGGAAGCTAGTACTAGTCTCCGCAGAGGACATAAAGGACCGGAGACGACGCGGTAGATTAGCTTTCCAAGGAAAAATTATCAATTCCCATTGAATTATTGAATTCAAGTACTTCTAAATTCTTTAAATCTTTTACAATCTGGTAGTAAGGTTCAGAAACATTTTTCTACTCATCATGGAACCATAGTGGAAGTTCTTTTTTCAATTTTAGTGATCATTACCCTTGTGCATTACAATGTTGGCCATCACTCCACAGATTGAACTATCATGATGAGTTATTGATAGTAGAGATGAAGATGCACTGTCTTCGGACTTCACATTTGAGTCAAGTAACATCCTAAAGTTCTCTTTGTCGTGACGTCATCCAGATCGGAATAATAATAATAATAATGCTTGTGTATTGAGGACGTCATTAAAAAGATCGCGCACGATATGCTTGAGTTGGGGAGAGTATGATATCATAAAAAATCATGATATGATGGAAATTGTGATGGGCATTTTGATTGAATTAGGTATATAAGAAAGCTTAGCATTAGGACATTCTGACCCCTGGCAACATCTTCTGAAAATGAATACGCTTTTACTTCTAAACCTCCTCCCTTCCTTGGGAAACTACATAAAGGAACAAAAGTGAATACAAACTGAGGAGGCCTTGGTGGGCGACTGGATGAGGCCTCCAATGAAGAAAACGACCCCTGGATGAGATGAGCCAAAGCTGGGACTGAATGGAGCGAAAAAGTTACAGATCGCGAAGGTGTCAAGGGCTCGGGCTTATGGTGGCCGAGGCTGGGGAGGAATTTGCGCTTCGGCGCATCAAAAGAGGATTCTCTGGACGGTTGAGCTTGACATGCTTCAACACACGGGTGAAGTCTGAGATGATCCGGTCATTCAGGTGGGACGAGGTAGATGTACTTAATGGTAGTTAACCTGATCCAGCCCGGCTCCACCCGTGCTCAAGCTCCAGTAGAAGTGCAACGGTAGTCACTTTACCTAGCACGTCAATGAACAAACCAAACCAAAACCTTCCCTGGGAACACCATTGCTCCGCATTACTTCCTTTGGCTCCCCTACTTCCCTTAGTGAAGCTTTCGCCTCAGCTATTATCGTTTGATCTCTAATCAGCTGGCTATCTCATTTTCTACCCTGTAAAACTATCGCTACATCACACTCCCTGAGACACCACCAATACAACACAAATTAAATAGAAGTATCGAAGCCCTTCTGATTCCCCCAACTTTTGGTCACGAAGAAGCCATCCGAAGAGTTTTCGGGGCGTACCGATCACCCGATACGCAGATAGTAGATCGGATCGAGTTGAATTAGAATGTTACAAAGAAGGGAGATATAGATGAATATGTGCACCTCATGTGGTCCGGGTATCTAGGCCTCGCCTGGCTAGGGCAGCAGGCTTTTAAGTAATTTTTCCCGCGCACACAGTTTCCATTGCTATTACATTTTTTTCTTGGGTAGAACGTTCAGTGGAAAAGGTGGCTAAATTCCACGAATAAATACGGAACTGAATGGCTATTCATCATGGATAATGTATCAATGATCTTTAAAGTAACAAAAGAAAATAGGAGCACTGTACAAGGTGTGGCCTGGGTTAGAGAGGAGCCCGATGTACTAGATAGTTATAGATTCAAGTAGCACAAACTAGGCGCCAAATCGAGCTAAATGAAATGAAAATAAAAAAATGGTAAGTAATTATCATCTCAATTACTACTTTCCTATATGGCAAAACATACCTGCCGGCTAAAGATTTAATAAATTAGAAATTTAATAGGGAATTTGAATTCTTTTTTCTCTACAATCTATTAGTAAGTCCTTATTGCCTCTGCGAAATCTTTTGTATTGGTTCACAAGCCTATCATGATTATGAGTATAACATCTACACCTATGATACCGTGGAGATTCCTATAAAAACCTTGACCGGAGCCAAATATTTTGTTGTGTCAGCATCAGACATAAGTGATCCAGGTAACTCATTAGACGCTTCTTGCATAGCAGCCACTGTTTCAGGGCTCGTACTTGTACACTGTAGGGTAGACCATTCTAGAATTTTCTTTTCATCCTTGTTATAGAGGAGTAGCAATACTGGGCTTATCAGTGGCTCAGTCGGCGTCCTAATTCGAGTTCCCTCCTAAGTGGGAAGTGTCAACTTGCTCCTCAAGTAAAGTCTTACTGGTAAAAATTAGCTTACAGAGGGTAGGAATGATGCTTCAAGAGGATCAGTGCTTGAAATGTCAACTAAAGATGATTTTAGTCATATCTCTGTGTTACTCGCAGGATAATCCTACCCATTGAATACATCTTTCCATCGCTTCCAACATACTTATTTTCAAGGACTGGTGTCGCTGGTGGTGTCTTTCCGATTAGTAGCCGGTGCACACTGCTAGATAAGCTCCAGAGAGATTCATAAGACTCGGTTCGATGCCAGGGAGCAAACCCAAATGGTCTAGGGCTAGAGTCAAAAGATGCATAACTTGAGATTGTCTTTGGCGTGTTTATCGTCAAATTAGTCCCATTCTTAGATTTTTGTGACTTTTTAGACCTTTTAAAATATTTCGATGTTTCCTCAAGTAGAAAAGTCGTCCGAGATATCAGCTGATGTTCGCATTCTTTTGAAGTCACTGAAATACTATCTGGATTCTAGTAGAACTCAGTATTTCCCTCGTTTTCAGTTATCAGAAATTATACCACCTGATTATTCGGTATGAGACGGGTACGTATACTCTTTTTACACCAAAAGTATAGTCTTGGTTCTCTTTCACTCTTTGAGCCTGCATACCGGTCAAAAATTCCCACATTTTGAAAATACTGCCGACGGGAACCAGGCATAATTCGAATAGGATTTGAGCTATTCGTAACACTAATACCATCAGTTATATCAGCCAATAAAAATACACCTCCCACTTTGGCTACAACGCTTTTATGGCGCGGGACCAGTACTGAGCGCTTAGACTTTCTAGCTCTTTTCAACCAAAAACTTGAAGTTGCTTTGTAGTCAAGTTTAAGGTGGTTCCTCAAATTTCGTTTGATCCCTGCCATAGTTTTTTCTTCTGAAAGTGATAAGACATCTTTTTTCTGCCTTTTTACATAGTTTATTTTAGGGACCTCCACTCGCTCAAACTTATTAGTTGATAGCAAAGGCGAGTCGATCGGATGTTTTGATAATTGATATTGGAGCCGATCTTGAGCTCCTCCCTCTAAATTTTGGGATTTACCCCAAAAATGATTTATTACTTTAGTTTTCGCATCATTAAATTTCGCCGGCTTATTATCACAAAGACACTTATGATAGGGCCTCACCGAAGGCGACGAGTTTTTGAATTGCATGTGTCTTGAACAATCTCTAATCATAGTATTTCTTAATGATAAAGGGGTATCTGTTTAAATCTATTAGCCGATCTTTCTTAGAAGTAACCGAGTCAGCTCTGCGTGTGATAAAGATTAGAATTTACTTAGTCCAGGAGCTATGTCCGAGGGAATATGTAGAGTTTCTTTTTGAGGCTCAAGTTTTCTTTTGGGTAGGCAATTCCAAGTCATACTCCTGCTTTTATCCTCACTATATTAAATTGAGTAGATACAGGAATTCTACGAAGAAAGTCCTAAAATTTCAGTTGCCCATCAAAATTAGTAAGATATAATAATAGTGATTTCTTTTTTGTTAGAGTTGAAAGTATTTTCTAACGAACAAAACTGGTTAAACCTGTGGAGAAAGCAGGAGCGAGTAGCTTCATCACTTGAGATTTTCAATGACGACGCTTAGATCTTTGACGCGAGACATCTAGATGTAACCTTCAGATAATGTCACAGCTCGAATATAGAAGGCAAATAGGCATTTGTATGATTGAAAGGTAAATCTATAATTCATCTATTGAGAAGCAAACTATCTGCAAGTCTCCCATGCTACTTACACACATTTAGAGGTATCTAAATCTAGCCTATGTTTACAGTGGCAGTGAAAGTAACTTAAGGTTTCTTCCGCCACATAGGTATTGCTTCCGATACTCTTGGCGCCATCTTTTACGTAGCCTCAGTGGTGAAATTGAAATTGAAATCTTTAATGTGACAGGACGAACCTAACATCTATTTAGACGTGACACGGGTAGATGGGCTCTGAGAGCTAATTGCTACCTACATGACCGGCATTAAAGCCAGAAGCGACAAAAGAAATAAAAAGGAATAATAAATGCCTGAGTTACAGTGCCCTGCGCTACATCCCTATCTTCCAAGCACATCCTCTCTCAAGTTGGAAACCGTCTTAGCGTGGTCACCTCCCACCCTGTTCATTCTTCGGCAGACTGTAGCATCTACTTGTAGTTAGGAATAGGAAATACTTGTGCCATCCCTTTTCCTCAATAATCTCCATGGCTCCAGGTGGGGTCATTTTTTCACAGCTTCTCTAACGTTGCAAGGCAGGTCGGCACTCTGAAAAATACCAGGGCCTTTTCTCTCGGCCGCAAACGAATTTCAGATCTTCATATTTGTGGTTGAAACGTCAATGATAGTCGGAGTAGTCCCCGTGGCCAGTCCTTGCTGCAATTAGACGGTGGTACGCCCATCTTGGTAGAGCCAGTTCCGGTGGCTGTTTGCAGCGCATGAAGAGGTCTAGATCTTTGTATCGTTTCGGTCGATACTTCTGCCACCACTCTTCCACGAGTTCTTGACCTCACATTTTAACTAGTCTTCCTAGTGCCGCAAAAGTTACATTTTGAGATTCTTCACTGAGCAAAGCTGTGGTTAGTGACCAGTTGTTGAGAGATCTCAAGGCCGATTTGGCCAGCTCATCGGCCTCTTCATTGCCTTTAATCCCAACATGACTAGGTATCCAGCATATTTCCGCACGTTTTTTTTGTCTCAGCAGTGAAAACTTGTCTACCACTGCCTGCGAGGAAATAAATCCTCCTCTTTCGAGCGCCCGAGAAGCCGCTTGATTGTCCAGAAGAATGCAAATCGGTAGGTCTTCTCCCACTGTTAGAGCAGACTCCAAGGCTTCCGTGGCGCCTACAAACTCCGTGTCGAATACCTCTGCTCTGGAAAATGGACCAGAGCCACTTCTAGCTAGCTTGCCTCTTTGATATACTACATATCCTCAGGCTGATTTTCCAGGGCCCGACGAAGATCCGTCAGAGAAGGCACAGATTGTCTCGGCTGGCAGGGAAGCTAACCATCGCTTTATGCTTCCAGACCTAGCTTCTTTTTCTCGACTGCATGGAGTCGGTGCTGGGGAGCCGTGTGGAAAGTAGAGCTTTCCAGGGCCTTCGGCTATAGGAACTTGACGCACGCTCATTTTCAGGCGTGTCATGTATCGTTCTGGCTGTCTGAATAGGCAATCTCTTTGTACAGACCGAAGACCTAAGCGTCTGATAGTATCTTTCGGGCCCTCAGACGTCCGGAGGGCTAGAGGATGCCACACATCCATTTTTCGCATGCGGGCTGCCGATCGCAGCGTCTTTTGCTGGAAAATGATTGATGCCGTGGGTACTCCCGCTTCACGGTAAAGAGCGCTATTCGGAGTGGTACAACACGCTGGGAGTACTAGTCGAATAGCTTTGATTATCGTTTTGTCCAATAGAGATATGTGCCAGCCTACTCTGATACTGACTTTATCTTTCAGTGTAGTTATTTGAGTGAGATCTGGCCACCACACTTCTGCTCCATATAGAGCCGTACTCAGAGCGCATTCCTGTACTGCACGAACTAGAGGTCCGGGTGCTGCACCGTGTTGAAAACTGCTCAAATGTCATGAGGAATGGACTAGACGATCAGCTTTTCCAGTCCATTCCTGTACATGTTGCTTGAAGTTCAGCAGGGTATCAAGCCAGACTCCTAGCCACTGGATGTGCGGTGATAGTTCGATTCGACGATCTCTTACCATGATTGAAAGGCTAACCGTGTTGATTTTCCTCCTAGGTCTCCCTCCGTTCACTAGAAGTTTAGACTTTGCTGGGCCAAGCTCGATCCTATGCTCCCTGGCGAGAAGGATGAGGCTATCGACGTCGTTTTGTACTGCGGAGATGGCTTCAGCCGCAGTTTTTCCAACTCTGATGATGGCCATATCATCAGCATAGCCAAACCTGCTCGTGAGACTATGGTCCTGAAAAAGCACTGCGACATGTAGCATAAAGAGTAATTGCGATAGTGGCGAGCCCTGAGGTATTCCACATTCAAGTATCTTTTCATTAGTAGTTCCGCCGCGGTATTATACCTTCACCTTTCGTTGGCAAAGAAAAGTCTAAATAAGCCGGCACAGGGATCGTGGCCAGCTTTGTTCTCGAAGGCATTTGAGCAGTCGGTTGTGAAGGACTGCATCAAATGCACCTTGAATGTCGAGTGTGACCATAGCCGCACATTCTCCGCTTCTCATGTCCGCCTCGGTATTGTGGATTATGCAAGATGCAAAGTCGACCGCCGATCATCCTGGTACAGAGCCGTATAATTGAGGGTGAACCAATTGGTGACTTATCGTCAGCCACACCATTCTCTTGCCAACTAAACGTTCAAGCCCTTTGCCAAAACTCGAAAGCAGCGAAATCGGTCGTCAGCCCTTGGCGGTTGACAGATTTCGTCCCGGTTTGGGAAGAAGCACTAGCTCTGCTACCCTGAAAGCCGTCGGAAAGTAGCCGATTTTCAGACAAGCCTGGTAGAGATCCTTAACCAGAGGTCCTAGATAGGTCCAACAGGCTTTAAGTGGACCTACCGTTATCGTGTCAGCGCCTGGTGCCGTATCGTTGAAAGATACAGTGGCGCTTGTCACATCGTCCAGTGATAATTCCGTATCCCATGGAATACGCTCTTCCTGTCCATTCTCCCAGATAGAGATGTCGTTCTCGCCGCTAAACCTAGCCAAGAGAATGTCTCGTAGCGCACTAGCTCGCTCTCGCGGGTCATATAGCCACCGGTTTTCGTCAATCTGCAGGGGAGGGGGCTGAGCAGCTGGTCGAGGCTTAGCCCATCTCATGAGCTTGAATACCTGTGCGTCAGTAGTCACTGCCTCTAGTTGCCTCTTCCAGTACTCTCGCTTGGCTTTTTGTACCACGGCTCTAAAGCTCTTGCGGGCCTCTTTCGCGAGGTCAGGGTTGTCTCTCGCTGCCTTGTACTCTTGCCATTCTGTGCGGCATTCATCGGTCCACCATGGCCCAGTTCTTCTGCTTTCGATGGCTGGGACTTTCCCTGCAATCTTGAGCGCATCTCCAAGTGCTTGTAGGAGATCATTTGTGAAGTTTTCGATGTTGACGACACTTTCGAGAGGGCCAGATTTGGCCCATTGCCTAACGCATAGGTTACATTCCTTCAAGTTGGCGTCGCTGACACGAATGTTCTTTACAATTCCAGAGAGATCTGACACTGTAGGGTTAAGCACGGTACCTTCGATGGTCGAGTGATCTGAGGTACAGTGGTAGCGTCTGGACACAGATGCTACAGCGGCCGTGTTGCTCCACGTTAGATCTAGGACGTTCCCATCCCTGTGCGTTGGCTCTCCAACAATGCTGACTAGGTCCATGTCGCGGGCTGTTGCCCATTCCATAATCTGGTTACCATTGCCGTACAGATTTGTTGTTTGTGGTTGCCAATGCTGTGACACAGAATTGAAATCGCCTCCAACAACCACTAAACCTCTAACTTCCCACCGGAGTAGGGGCTCCAAGGTTCCACTAGTGTCTGGGGCACGGTATTCATTGACAAAGGTTAGGCTGCCCATCTTTACAAAACAGTAGTCAGATGTCGGGCCTGACAACGGTGGAAATAGTTGAGTCGCATGACTACCTTTGCGCGTGAAAGTTATCGCGCGGGGCCGGATGTCTATTCCTCCGAATGGTATGTGGCTATTGTAGCCAGGGTGACTTTTTGTTATAAAACCCCCCTCTTTCTTTCTTGTCCATGGCTCCTGTACCATGACTACATGTGCACCGGCATCCCATGCCTGCTGCAATGCTATATCCATGTTTTCCCCACCCCTTCCGACATTCACTTGGTGAAAGTGGACAGTTTTCTACTTGTCTTTTGGTGCTTTTGTTGAGGGATTATCTAACATTAACACGACATTGTTGAGTCCTGGGCAATGACGGTTTCAACCGCCTTACCCTTCCTTTCAGAGTACGCTAGAGCAGTATGATAATCACGATGTCCGCGTTCTCTGATGATTTGAAGTTATACGGGGGTACGGGGCAGAATTATCCCATTTTGTCGTCTTGGCCAGTCCATACAGCTGCCCTCATTTGAGTGATGGGGTCCCGCGCAATTGGAGCACTTTGACACCTTGACCTGGCACTCTGATGTCTCGTGGGCTCCCCCACATCTCCCACATCGTTGGCTCCGGGTGCAGGAACGCGTGGTGTGGAAACCCCAGCAACGTTGGTATTGCTCGATTGGTCTTCGGCGCGAGAAGGGAATTGCTGGTCCGCTCTCGTCAAAGAGACGAAACTTTGTGTTTGCTAGTTTCTGTTGGAAATGAACAATCCAGCTCGTTGAGTATTGCCCAAGCTTTGTTTCTGTTGGCCTTACCTGGATTGGTGTGGCGCCGCATATAGCTTGGCACTCGT